GCAGGAATTTTGAATATGGCCTGTAAGGATTCTGTTTATTGCTGACTATGCAGTTAAATTTATGTTTTGTTTTATATTATTAAAAATGGGAGTAAAATCTGCTGTTGCAAGAGTTGTCAGCATTTTCATCTTGGTGCTAGATTTGAGGGAAAGACTGACTGGAATGATGTTAAAAATATCTAATAGCCGATATGTATGTCAAACCTGACATTACACGTAAATTTGGGGAGTGTTTCTGGAGGTCTCCTGCTGTTCTGGGTTATAGTGAGTTGCTCAGTGAGGTAGGGCATTCGGGGGCCTCAGGGAAGCAGAACTTACTGGTGTGGAAATATTTTAACTTGCAGAAGGATTATACTGCTGAGTAGGCTGAGTGTTAGCTCTAGAGGGTAGTAAGATTCATAAAAGGATAATGAGAAATTAGCCCTTAGAAATCTTTCTGTATATACCAGTACTTGTAGCAACCTGAAAAACAGCAAATACATAGGGAAAAGCAAAAATGGTTCCCATGATGATAGATACATACTGTGGTAGTGAAAGTAAATACTTCAATATTTCTTTCTTTTAGAAAATTTGAAGAAATAACAAAACACAAAGAATAAACTAATAATCACTTGTCTTCCATCACTTAGAATTAATAACATTTTGGGCAAGTTTTGCTTTCAGTCTTTTTTTTTCTATTTGCCTACTGAAAAAAACTGCATGCATGAAATTGCAGATATATTCTTTGTAAAACAAATAATAGCACATTACAGATAAAGCTAAAGTACTCTTTGACTATACCCCGCCCAAGTCCAGCCCCTCTCTACCTCCCAGAGGTAATAAAATCGTGTTTAAAAGAGTATCTGGAAAGTTTTATGTCACTCTCTGACATATGTGCTAGTGCCCGTTATATTCCATAACTTCAATATTTACTTCTGTATTTCCCTAAAACTGAATTACCTTACTTTCACTGGTCATATTTTCCAGGTAATAAACACTGAGATTGAGTTTAGTATGCAGTCTATTTATTAGGGGGTGCTTTTGAAATTGACATTGACAGACGGGAAAGGAGGTGAAATACGATTTGTCAGGGAGAAGTCAAGCTGTCCCTTCAGCCTCTGTTGATCCAACAGGGATCCGTGGAGCAGAAATGGTCCTTCAGAGTTGTCCTGCCTTGGGCCAAATGGTTGACCTTTATGCACTTGCCTCAGTTACTCATTGGATATGGGCTGCCTCCAGAAGGACTTGGCCTTGGACTAGTAGGCTTTCGGTGGCTGAGACAAAGCCTGGAGGGGCTGACAGCATTGCCAGCAGTTGGAGCAATAAGTCTTATTATTAAAAATTAGTAAAGAATTATGTTCTAATTGTTTCACAGAACTCATAATTGTAGTGGGTTAGTGTTCCAGGGTTAGAACTTTTAAAAAATTTAATTAAAGTTTGTACTTACTTTTTATGATGTTGGATATGTTGGGGAAGAAATTTTTTTTTTTGACATCTTTATTGGAGTATAATTGCTTTACAATGGTGTCTTAGTTTCTGCTTTATAACAAAGTGAATCAGTTATACATATACATATGTCCCCATATTTCTTTCCTCTTGCATCTCCCTCCCTCCCACCCTCCCTATCCCACCCCTCTAGGTGGTCACAAAGCACCGAGATGATCTCCCTGTGCCATGTGGCTGCTTCCCACTAGCTATCTATTTTACGTTTGGTAGTGTATATATGTTGGGGAAGAATTTTGAAAAGAAAGAGTAACTGGTTTAACTTTCATTACTCACTGGAGGGAGTGGCAAAATTGAAGATAAAACAGGAATAATTAAAAATTAAATATTATTTTGTTGAATTAAAAATCATTAATATGTTCTGTTTCTGGGGCAAGATGGAATAGATGTGCTTCTTCCTATCTTTCCCATTAAGTACAGCTAAAGACCATGGACATTACATATAAAACAGATATACAAAGACTCTGAAAGGCAGAGAGGTGTGGAAAAGCTAGGGGCCTTGGGACCCAAGGAATGTGACTCATTCCGTGAGGTCAGTATTATTCTGATGGAATAACCAGATAAGGACCATACAAAGAAAGTTCAAGATCAATATGCCTCATGAACATAGATGCAAATATCCTTAAGAAAATATTAGCAAATAGAGTTCAGCAACATATAAAACAAATCATACACCATGACCAAGTGGGGTTTATTTGAGGGATACAAGGCTGGTTCAGTATTTGAAAGGAACTTGCCTCAAACTATCTGAAACTTTCGTTTTTTAGGAAGAAATTCTACATTGAAACTTTTAAAGAGGAATTCATTTTAAAGTAGGATGGAATTATATTTCTATGCTTGAATTGTCAAATCCTTTTTTAAAAAAACATTGAAAAGAAACCCATTCTGATCATTACTTATCTAATTTGGGAAAACTGATCCTACCAATGATGCTTAATGAATTACAAATGAGCAGCAAAATTTCTTACTTTTTAAATCTGTGTATTGTTGATACTTTAGAACACTATTCAGAGATTTACCTCCAACCTGTTTGTCATATTTATTTCTATTTAAGGTATGTAACAGATATATAATTAGTGGGACATGGATTATTTGAAGATACTAGGAAATTTGTCTCTTTCTATACCTGGCAGATAGATAATTAGTAAATAATCTTATAGTTACAAAGATGAATATCTCTAGAGATTCATCATTTACAAACTTTGTTAGTATGTCAACAATCCCTTAAGTTAACTTCTCCTAATCTATTCTGTGAATTTTACTTTCACTTCAAATTTATTCAACTCTTATTGATTTCACTCATATAGGAGATGTCTTACTCATTTCGTTGGAAGATGCAGTACAGTTTACAGAAATGCTCTCCATCTCAAGAGTCAAACCTTTCCAAGGCTCAGTTATCTTATTTGTTAAATAAAGATAATTGTCTCTATACCCTAAGTGGAGGAATAATATATCTTAGTTTACTGTGATAGTACTAGTTTATGCCTGTTGTCTTACTATTTTTGTTATTGTTGTTAGCCCCGTTTTATTATTTTTATACATGTATGTGCCAGTAGTAGTAGCAGTAGTAGTTAATAGTAGTAATGAATTGAGGTCATTAGATTCGAACTGCCTCTACTTCCTGATCTGCTACGTATAGTAAAAAAAAAAAAAGAAAATGCAAAGCACTCTAGAAAATAACAAGTAAAAATATGAAAGCTTTTTTTCCCCTCCCTCAGATGTCCAGTCTTTCTGTTCAAAGTAAATCATTATTAAGATGATTTATTTATCCTTATTTATCCTTAATAGAAAATTTTACTATATTGGAATTATATTAAAAGACTGATTTTTTCACAGTGCTTTTATCACTTAATAATATATCTTGGATTTTTCTATTTCCATATTTATACATTTACCTAATTCTTTTTTTTTTTTTTTTTTTTTTT